TCTCTCTCGGTCTCTCTCGGTCTCTCTCGGTCTCTCTCCGTCTGTCTCTGTCTGTCTCTGTCTGTCTCTGTTTGTCTCCGTCTGTCTCGGTCTGTCCCTGTCTGTCTCTGTATCAGTTTGTCTTCAGTGACAGTCGTTACATGAGCAAGCAGATGAGCGTGCAACGGTAAGAGATGGCTTACGATCGTCCTCGAGTATGCGGAAAGCAAGAAAACTCAAAGGCCGCATCTCGGGACCGAAACCTAGTCGAGCGCCCGCAAGCCAAGGCATGGAACTTTGGAAACTTTTATCAACTTTCTTGCATGGTGAAGACCGCACGGTTCCAATTCTGAGCGGGGCGTTTGCATCTGAGATGGAGGCATTCATTGCCGGAGTGCACACAATTTCGGTGTGATTGCTCCAGGTGTCGTTTTTCTCTGCACAGCAACACTTCAGCGTCTGCATATGTATGGGTGTGTGGCTTCACATGGTCGGTCCAGGCCGTCGATGGAGAGCTTGTGCAGCGGCTTCGGTCTGCTCGTGTGGTGCCGGTTGGGAGCCAAGAAGCGATCCCAATACAGATGTGAGAGTAAGACTATGGTGCCTATGATGCCTTCTGCGACGTCGCTACTCCTCGGTCTCCGGCTCGAAACCCATCCAGCAAGCCTTGTGGTCCAACCACCTGCTTCGTGCATTGAGTGGGTGCCATTTGAACCGACGGTCGATGACAGTTGCGCGTTAGCTTCGGTTTGGTCGGAGCCCTTGCACACCAGAAAGGATCCGCGATGGATAAGAATTATTCTCTGTCGTCCGACGATCTGGACTCGTGGGGCAGAGTGCTTTTTCATGAATTCGCCTGAGCTTTCATTCGTGTTGCGTCGAGAGATGATGTGAGGTCCTGGTCATCGAGGATCCCAGCAAAGCGTAGGGCTCAGAGGCGTCGAAGCGTGTGAAGCACTCTCCGCATCCTTCTGCTCGCGGCTTGCGGTTGGTCTCGATGCTTCGCAGAGCTTGGCTGCATCGGCTGAGGAACAACTCTTAAACGGCCAATGTTTGCAAATGTTTTCAGATTTACACTTGCCCCAGAGTCGTTGGATCCATTTCTTGCGAACCTATGTTTAGCTGTGTTTGGCGTTGGCTTGCTTTGCTTGATTTACCCAGGCTTCCGAAACTCTTTTTGGACCACTGGCTTTGCAAAGGAGTTAGATTCGATCGAGAGCGAGTGTGTGTTGTGGTTTGCTGCATTGCGGAAAACTCTTTGTGTTCTTTCGAAAACTTCTCTAACATGTTTGTAGCTTATGGGCTTATTCCTTTCCCGCTTACTACCAGCCAGTTCGGGGTTCTCCAAATTACGGGCTTCCTAAGGCCGAAACCATGGCCCGTTCGGAAAGGCTCCCCCCTCGAGACAGTCCTCCTGCTGAAGCTTGGACCTGGCCCATATGAGGGATTCCGATCCTTGCTGAAACTCAGAACGCACTCCGGCTACCTTCCATACGTCTACGGTGGAGGCAACCTAGCAAGGTCTAGGTTCCGCAGGCCACGGGCACAGTAGCAAGAATTCACCTAGATGTTCGACGGAAAAACACAGGAACAGCAACGACAGTACAGATAAACTATCAACCTTTGAATCATACGCAAGCTGTTGTTCGAATTTCGCCCGGTCAGTTTTCTTTCAAGCCTCGCTTTTGAAATTTGCTTTACTCTTACCCTTCTGGAGTCTGCTTTCAATGAGTGTGAACGATGAGAGAAGGTTATCATGGCACCACTGCAAGACTGAATCGGGTCACGCCTGTGTCTACAGCTTGGCCCAGGCAGCTGCGCTTGCCAAAGCCATTTACCACGGTGGTTTTACCGTTATTGAGGCTAGGTGCGCATTCCCGAGCCATGCCTTGCTTGTCGGTCGGACCGTGGCGGACATGCTTAAGGTCGCCTTTCGAAGTGGTAACGCCAAAGCTACTTGGACAGAGCCACGGGCGAAAGGCCAGCGAGCAAGCATGAGTGGTCGCTCTTGCCGAGGAGGTCTTGCGTGAGATGGCGGCTGCGGAGCCTTGTGTACACTTAGGACAGCCGGGCAAAATGCAGCAAGAATTGAGGCGATGGCGGTTTCTACACTGCGTCAGGAGCTGGCACAGTCTTGACTACAGACCAAGCAGCTGACGCCCTTGGCTTATGCGTGCATGGCTTCAGAGACGGCTTCTTCCCATGCAATGCTTCGCAGCCACTTTCGCTCAAATCGGTTCGTGTCCCTCTGAAAACAGTGAAGTCCCTGTCAACAATGAGTGCTCGGGCCAAAGGGCAAGGTGAGCTTGAGACCATCGAGTGGCTTGGTGGCACTTGTGGTTACGAAGCGAAGCGACGTGAAGCAATTCCAAACTTCTTTCCCACAGGCTTTGCCATGCAAGCGGAGCAACTGCTCAGGCAGGATTTGCGAGATGTCAAAACCGTGGCAGGCAGTGTTGCTGCTGAAGTGGGTCTGAGGGCATTGAGATCAAGTCGGTCAAAGGATCATTGTACGAAGCGCAGTGAGCAATCACACACTGGGAGAGCCGGCAATACTGCACCGCGGGGCTGTCCAGATGTTCGCTTCAATGCAAACGCCAAGGGGTTAGCCTGCCCAGCCGTTGTCTCTGCGTGATCCCACGAAAGGAGTCTAAAGTTTGCCCTCAGGTTTACCTTTGGGGTGCCACGCTTACCAGCTACAAAACCGCAGATGGCACAGAGCGCTTCTTGGCTTCATGGGGTTGTTTGTTGCATGGTTGTGTAGAGCATTCTTACCTTGTCGATCTGCCGGGAATGAGGAATATTCGTGTCCCCTGGAGCTCTTTTTGACGGCAAGAAGGTACGCTCAAGAAGTTGACGCTCCGTCAGCCGAACAGTGCCAGGAATTTCTTTGCCGGAGGCCATACGAGGTGGAGTACCGGTTGTTTTTCCACAGTTTGGACAACCGGACAAGGTGCTTTGATGGCTTGTAGGTTCTTCTGTCTTCTTCTGCCTTATGTAGAATGTAGGGTGTTGTCACGGCTGAAGGCTATGGCGCAGCACGGATTCGCACGGACCAGCTTCTGGTCAGTGGCCTCGATAGAGGTCTCACTCTGCATCTGCGGGTCCCAATCATACACCACGTTCTTCTCGGATGTTCATCACCTTGCAGGACAGTCCGGAAGCAGTGGGTAGCTTATGAATTCTCGCCTGATCACTTGTTGCAGTATTACCCTGATGCACCAAGTCGACTGTGGTGCTCGCACTTGCCGACAGCGAGGCCTTCAGCTAGGCTTTGTGGAAGCCTGCCCTGGCATGGAACTGAAATCTGCGACGCTAGGCCACGAGGTCTGTTTGGAACTTTCCGTTTAACTTGGAGTACGTCGTAAGTCTTTCGGCTGCCGCTGGCTTAGCGGAAAAGGCAAAGAGCAGGCGATGTGTCCTTGTCGAGTGAGGTGTCTCTGAAGATGACGCTGAGAATAAAAAACACAGGGGACGAGCCTCGGCCACAAAAACACCTCAAGCCGAAGCTTGTTTTTTTCTTTTGTGAGAAGGACAGCATGCAGCATGCCTTCAAAATCCAGCGAAGGTCGCCTTTCCCTTCCAGGCCCTGTTGCACACTTACTTCCGGGTGCCCGAAGTTCAGAAGGCGCGTACTGAAACGATCAAAGTCAATGCATGCGCCATAGCAGAACTCTTCTCTTCTTGTCTGCCTGTTTCCGTCTTTCTGGGCTGGAGGTGGCGGTGCGGGGCCTTGGAGGCCGAACGTACCTTGACAAGGCCACCTTACTGCATAGCTTCCTTTCATGGTCATCTTTGTCTTGCCTCTTTTTCAAGTCGGTGATCAACCGATCAGATCCTGTTTGCAGCACGTACAAGACACACCGCTACCACTGCTCACTGCGACGACAGCAACTACGACTACGACTGCTACTGCTTCTTCTACTACTCCTACTACTACTGCTACTGCTGCTACCACTACTAACTACCACTACTGCCACTACTGCCACTACTGCCACCACTACCACCACTACCACTACTACCGCTGTTACCACTACTACCACTACTACCGCTACTGCCACTACTACCACTACTACCGCTACTGCCACTACTACCACTATTACCACTACTACTACTACTACTACGACGACGACGACTACTACTACTACTACTACCACCACCAGTACTACTACCACCAGTACCACTACCA